ATTTATTGATAACATTCTTTCCATGCATGTCTTATTGACATGCTTATCTCTTATTAAAAATCCCCTATCTAAGTAATGATTCCTAATAAGGTCAATAAATAAGGTCCATCCGTAAAAATAAATATTTCTAAATCATTATCACTTGGATGTGTGAAAAAAGATTTTTGTCCCTCGTTTATTCCCATATTCATTCTTTCTAAATTTTACTGTTATCTATACCTAAATTCGTGGTTATCGCAACTACAATATAATTTGCATCGTATAAATTTTTAATGATTTCAGTAATGATAGACGAAGTAAGAGGCTGATCGTAACTGTAATACTGTTTATTTCCATTTGCTAAATAAATCACGAGCAATGCTAATCTGTTTTATGAGCCTTGCTTGTTCAGCTTTTGTCAATTTTAATTTTGTGAGATATATATTATATATTTCATCAAAACACAGTATAATTAGTTTTTGAAAGTCTGAGAATGAATTTGACTTGCGTTTTATAAGAATCAAAATCTCTGTTAAAATATCTTCGCTTAAATCTAAACGAGAGATGCCCAGTTAGAAGTGTTAATAATCCGGATAAGGGGTAGTTATTTTTTTTTTAATATCTATAAGCTTTTGGACTCACTTTTTAATGCAATAGCTGAAGCAATGTCTTCTATGTCCCATTTGACTTTTTTTATATGATTAACAGTAACTTTGATTTCTTTTTGCAGTCGTTTTATATTTTTACGGAGTAAGTTATTTTCTTTCTTTTTGTGCTGTAATTCCTTCTTTAGTTTTACTATTTTATTTTCAAAGCTAAAAAAATATAATTTAATAAACTTTATAAATCATAGAGTAAATATTATTTAATAATATTATTTAATAATACGATTGCTAGTTTAAAATAAATTAATATGTAACATTACATTTATTTTAGATATATTTAAGTAATAATATACTTTATATTCTGTAAAGAAAAAAGTATTTTTTTCGAAAACTTTTTGTATTAATCATGTATCTTTCCAGTATACATAATATAAAAAAACATCCATTTTTAAATTTGCTTCAAATACTTATTAGAAATGCTATGAATAAAAACAAAAATTATAATTGAAATACTATTTTTTTAATACAAATTTTGTTTCTTTAAATAATATATTCTCTTTGCAGATTAAAATTATTTATTTAAAAGAATTACGTTACATTTATTGACAAATAAGTAACAGATTTTTCTAATGAACCTTTGAATATTAAATTTGAATGCTGTGATATTAATGTTATATAAATAGGATGAAAGTTAGTTTTTAGTTATTTAAAATCAAAATAATATAAATATTTTATTAAAAAGTAACATAATAATAAAATAATGTAAAAGATGTCGGCTCGCATATGCAAACATATATAGAAAAATTATTGTGAAGGCCAAAAACGAGCAATAATAAAGTGTAATGTTAAACTGTTTTATTATAACTATAATATTAAGAAAGACGTTTATTAAGAAAACATTTTGACTTATTGAGTTAAATTTTGATCCTTACGTATCAATGCATTAGACAATTGATTTTTAATTATAGTAATGAATATAAGGAAGACTCAGTCAAAATAAATGTCTTTCTTAATATTAAAGTTATAAAAGATTTTAAATACGATAAAGAAAGCCAAGATCGGTCAAATTTTAGATGTACAAATAATACATTATATATTCTTTAATTAAATCAATTTATTCGGTTTCAACACAATTATCCTGAAACGTTAATACATTTTTCGCAACAAATTTTTTACTTTCTTTCTTTCTTTCTAATTTAATTTAGAGGGAATTATAACTGAATGTTATCGGCTCGCAATTATATTTGGAATAAATTGATTTAATTAAAGAATATATAATGTATTATTTGTATATTTAATGTAACATCCAAAATTTGACTGATCTTGGCTTTCTTTTCGTATTTGATGATTCACATATACGGTCGTGCTTAAAATTCTTAAAAGATTTTAACTTTATATCTTATTATTGCTCGTTTCTGACTTTTACTCTAATTTTTTTATAACAATAAAAAATTTCCAATTCCTTACTCAATTTATTTTTTAGAAACAGTTGTTTGTTCTTGTACAGATAGTGTTAAATTTAGACTATTTATATTTTTGGTATGAAGATCATCAATAACTTCAGTTGACGTTGTTAGCGAGCTTTGTATTTCAAATTCGTATGTGTAAACCTCTTTTGATATTACATTTTTTTTTATCAGTAAATAAATAAATAAGTACATTACATAATATTTTATTATAATATTTCACATAATATTTTAAGAAAAATATTAACAAATCATAGATTTATACTTTTATTTTTTTTAATATTTACATTTCTTTTGTATTTTCATTTTTTGTATTTCTTTTACAGGTTAAGTCTTTATTTGGAGTTATTTGTAGAGAATTATAATTTATTTCTTCTAAAATGTCATTATTAGGTTGATCACAAAATATGTTTTCTGTAGGAATAGCATTTGGTAAAATACTTCTCACTGTTAACAGTGTTGGAACATATCTAGATAAAAGATACAGCTAAAGTATCTAAATACTGTATCTAGATACAGTATCTAGATACTTTAGCTGTATCTAAGTGCATTACCTCGATTCTTATAGGCGAAGATACCTGTATCCGTATCTAGTTATTTTTGGATACAGTATCTTTTAAGTTTTAGATACATAAGTACAAGGTACTTATACATTTTGTTTTATATTATATTATAAACTTAATTTTTAATTATTATATCTACTATAAATCTTTACTATACTATATTATAAATCATCAAGAGTACTTCAATGTTGTGAAGAAAAAAAATTTAAAAAATTTTTTTTAACAATTGTTAACAAAAAAATTAAAAAAAATTTTTTTTACAACATTGAAGTACTCTTGAAACCATACAACTTTTGTTTAAAAAATTTTTTTCCATCTTTTATACTTCCGACGATATTTGCCTCGAAAGAAAAATATTGTTTTTTTTTTCAAAGGGGTGTTTCACTTCTTAACCATGATTTAGAGCACGTATAAAAAATACGTGTCTCTTAGATTATCGTGTTTAACAACATATTTCATAGAAAATCAAATCGGTTCTGGACAGTTGTGAAACTTCCCTTGTCAGTCGAAAAGTCCTTTACCATTGTGCAATTTTTGCAATATTTTAGGAGATATTAATTTCTAAATATCACTTAATGAGCACGTATCCACGCGGATTACCACCAGTATACGCCCATTGCTTGTTTGCGGGAAATAATGATTGCTTGATAGGCGCGCTGCTCGAGTTAAAGCGCTTAGCGCACCTACCAAGTAGTTCTCGCGTGATAATTAACTGCAACTGATAAGTGTAGTCTTGATGGTAGTCTGCACGGATATGTACTTATTTAGTGACATTTAGAAATTAATATCTCCTAAAGTATTGCGAAAATTGCAAAATGATAAAGGACTTTTTGACTTAGTTTAGTCCGTTCTACTGACAATGAAAGAAAGGATTTTATTAATTTAACAAGCCATCAGTATCTTTAACAAGTAATCGGTAAATATGTGACAACAAAATTGATTTGTTGTGATTGCTACTAGTTTGCTGTACCAACTAATTATTAGTAATAAAAGCAAATTATATAGAACCTAACCTATCTTTTAGATAGACTTTAGAATCGTTTATCATAGAAATCATAAGGTTTGTTCGCGTCGCAAGCTCCAACATGCTCCAACATGCTCCTCTCGTAGCTCCTACTCACTCTATCTTAACTAGAATTGGTCAATTTCTTTCGATTTGAGATCGTACGATCGTCTACGACTTCTATGTATACATATATATGAGCCTTTTATTTGCTAGAGATACTATTGATTATTTGTTACATTGACGAATGAGAAATAATTAATTTGCAATAATAACTAATCGATCGTTTTCTTAACAAATACCACATTTGTTTTCCCTTGATTTGTTCCTATAACAAAATCATTTGTTATTTCAGTGTACCCGCTCATGAGAAGTGATTTCGTAGATCGGGAACCTCCTGTATATGAACGCACTTTGTTGTTTTCGACTTAAATTTTCATTATCGAGACATTCTTTTATGTATTAAAACAAACAAATAAAATGTAGCATTTTGCTTATATCTTTTCTTCTTGTTTTCTGTATTTTTTCCTACTTCCCCATTTTTCTTTTTTTCCTTTTTTTTAAGTACCTAAAAAGTATTTAAATTTTCGGATACTTTTTTCTTATATCTGTACTTAGGTAATCTATACTTAGGTAATTATAAAAAAATGTATCTGTATTTATACCTAAATACATTTTGTACGTAATCTATACTTATATCTTTCAAACAGTATATCTGTTCCAACACTGGTTGTTGGAGAATCTTTATAATATTTGAGGTTTTCTTTGCAGTAAGGAAATGAATGGAACAAATACGTGTTGAAACATTTTTTTAATTAAATAAATTTTTTAAATTAAATTATATTTTGCAATAAAAAAAATTTGTAAATATTAATAACATTTAATTTATATATCTATCACTTTTTAGGTTAACCTCCTTGTCACAAGCTTTGCTGCAATATTACTCTTTTGGAAATGAGAAAAATTTTTTTTTTATTTTCGCATTTTCACTGCGATTTTACACCCTTTAACGCTACCGTGCTGCCATTTTTTATGAAATTTTATCACAAGTGATGCGTCAGTCTTTACTATTATTTTCCAATATGGAAGGCGACTTGTTTCAATGCCATATATGCGCAGAACGGGTGAAAATTTGGTGAAAATTTTTTTTTATATCTAACGAGCACAATTCTTCTTTATTACACCACGGTCTGAATGCATCCGCAGCTCTTCTCTGTCACGCCACGAATTCGCCCATATGAACATATTCGCGACAACCGCGACAATTTTCAGTAGCGTCAGAAAGTAGCTCCATATGAACGAGTCGATGCTTATGATTATGGCGCTACAAAGATCGTATGAACGAACCCTTAGTTAAAAAGAACAGACTTCATGATTCTCACTACGCATTGTAGTGTACGTCATATTGCGTAGATGTAATAAATTCCTTAACCTCGATAGTTGTCGATACTGTAGATGTCAACTTTAACAATATCTCGGTTTTCGGGGCAGAGCGACATTTTTTCCTCCAAATTCTTTTGTTTTATACAAAAACGCATTGAATAAATCTAAATTTCATTGATTTTTAAGCTGTGGAAGACTCATCTAAATAATTACCGCGATATTCCTAATATAGATAGAAAGAAAGTTTGTGGATGTTTGTTATAAGTTGAGAATGAAAAAGTCAAATTCCAATAATATTGCTGCGAATGATGCTTCAATGCCTAACGTGACTGAAGAACTACTTGCACCAATTGACATCACTATGAAGTAAGAGAACTGATTTTTTCTGCTATGATTTGCAAATAGTTTGCTATGTAAAGTGTATATTTATATATATATATATATATATTTAAAAATATAACAAAAAAGGAAAGAACTAATGGGAATAATAAGTGCGCTATCAGGAGACGCGATAGTGTTTCCCGTCAAGTATATTTTTAAAGTTTAATACATTAAAAACATCCTTTCTATATTATTATGAAAGGGACACTACCATGTCATGAAAGAGATGCTACAGCGTATTCTTTACAAAAAGAAGAATGCTTATGTAAAAATTATTTTGTTTAAATAAATGAATGTTATAAAAAAAATGTATATATTGTGGAAGAATATAGATTTTTATAATTATATAATAATAAAATGAGATAACATCAATAAGTTCGTAAATGCACTTGATGCGTAGATATGAATATATGTACATATTTTTTTATCCGATTTATATCATTCAGATATGTTGTCGTTATCATTTTTGCAAAATCCTGGACAAAATTTTGTCCTCTTTGGCTTTCGCATCACGAGATATAATTACTAAATGATTTTAAGTATTTATTTAACAAATTAAAGACAAGAATATAAAGAGAAGTAGGAGGAGTCAGCGCAGTACTTTGTGGACAAGTTTAACAATGGAGATGTTTTAAAAGTCCATTTTTTTAATATAAAGGTGTATAATATCTATATGCGGTTCAACTTACTTTAAGTCATTCTCATCGGAATTGAACATAATAATTCTATTTTGTGGAAGTAGTGTATCAACCATGGTGCCAACCATTCAACTCTGATCCAACATACTAAAAAGATTCCAATGATTCATCATTCCCAGTTTACTGATCAGAAAGAAACAAGTAACTCTTACGTAATAAAGTTGTAATGAAATTGAGAATATTAAAGATATATTTAAAATAAATATATAAAAATATTGACTTAAAAGGGCCATATAAATCCAAACGAGCCTATAAATCATACAAATAAAATAGAGCTACAAGCCACGAAAATAATAATAAATAATAGCTATTAACACACAGACTTTTCGACCTGCTACGAGATTCATTGCTTATATATTCATTGCTTATAATTTTGAAAATTATAAAATTAATTGTTGAACCCTAATTAATCTAAAATGACGGTTTAAACGTCGAGATGTGATACAATTATCTATATAAAAGACAGACAGCACTCAACATCTAGCATACATTAATTAGGATTCGATAATTAATTTTATTATTTCCAAAATTATTCCAATAAACAATGAATATGACCTCTTAGCAGATCGAAACGTGTTAATGTTAATAGCTATTATTTATTATTATTTTCGTATGGTTTGTTTTATTTTATTTGTATGATATTTAAAATATATTTTTTTAAAGAAACAAAAGAAAAAAGTAGACTGTCACTCATCACATTAATGCAACTTGCACATCCACAATGAATAGTCAATTAAATGAATATAATAGTTATTAGAATAACAAATTCAATATAAAAAAATAAAGGATTAGTGAGCTAAGTTAGTTATTCTTGATTATATAATAATATTATATAATGTATAAATTAACGTTAATTAATATAAAAACAAACGTTTCGACCCTTCATGAGTCATCCTCAGTGTACAAATTTTAACGATCACAAATTAAAAATAATAGTCGCAAAATCGCATTATACAATAAATACTTATTACATTGATTTTATGCGCACGCAAATTTAAGTGTCACTTCTATAAAGGTGTTGTAGATCATGATTAATTGCTAATGTCCACTTTGATTTTTGTCTTATAATTTAGGGCTCCTGACTAGTCATGGCGGCCATGTTGGAATCGTGACGTCAGAAGCAAGGAATGATACGTTAATTTATGTTGCATGACATTTTAAATAAAGACAATTTTGGATGAAACGAAATGACGAGATCGCTTTAAAACATTATAAAAATCGATGAAAACTGTTCTTTCCTCCCTTGACAATTAGTAAATGATCCGACAGCTGTTGAAACGAATAAAATATACGCTTTTACATATAAAATTTCAAGATAACTTTAGTTTTCATCGATAATTATGATTTCGATAAGTACGAAACAAGCAAATTTTTACAATTAAGCAAATAATAACGAAATAGCATGCAACATAAATTTCGTCGCCAAAACGTCACTTTCCACGCCTACAAGTTCAGTCATTTATGCGGCGCTGTAACACACATACAAGCATAAGCCCATGTGCTCGTCTTCGCCGAAAGTGAACGAGACAGCGAGTTTTTTCTCATACTAGTCACTTGTTTCAAGTGACTAAAAATGCCTTCTCAGCAATCTCGGCTGTTCAGCTGCCCACGGCATCGATAAGGGACGAGGATCATTTTGAATAACATATAAGTTGTAATAAATTGTAATAGTGTATCCCTTCCATTAATTCAGAATAATATAAATCATGTTAAAACGCAGCAGTTACGAAATATTTAATTGTTTACGATTTTGCGCATTATATACTTCCTTTATAAACTCGAGTAACAAGAATAGTTCGGTAGAAGTAGAATTTTATCGGAAAAAAATTATAAAAACCAGCATTTCTCTTCACAAAAATCATCGAAAAGCCAGCAGAAAAGAAATGCATATGTTTGAGACTCGAGACTTGTGAAGAAAATATGCGAAAAAAATCGAATAGTTGCAAAAAGTACATTTTTTGCTTATAAAACGGAATTGATTGTATGGAAAAAAATTCAGCCTGAAAAATGATATTCGAAATATCTAGAAAATAAGAGACATTAAAATCGATTTATTAGTTAAATAGAAAAAAAACCACCGAAAAAGGTTTTTTTCACTTGCTCTCTGTTCATTGAGATTTAAACGCTTCAAAATTTTCATAAAATGTAGCCCTCGTAATGACGAACAAATCTAGTCCTGAACGAGCCTGAAATGTTTCTTAATTTTTGCAAAAAGTCATTTGTTCACTAAAAATCTGTCTACGAAAAACTTAATTTCTTCATCTTTGAGCAGTCGCACAGCAATTTACAGGAGTGATTTTTCTTCTTCAAGAGTTGCACTATCACGTACATTTAGTAGCAAAACGATTTTTTTAGTTAAACTGACTTATTATAAAACAACTTTGAAAAGTGGGTATTTTTTTTTCGTATAAAAAAATGGAATAATTTCGTTAATATGTGACTTAAGTTTGTTAATCAGACATTTTATATTCAAAACGTAATTTTTTAAAATAATAAACAGAAAAAAAATTCAAGAAACGAAAAATTTCATGGTTACAATTACTTTGCGAAACATTTGGTTAAGCTATTTGTTTTATATCTCGCGGAGCTATCCCAGATTTAAAAAAAATTATGTTTCTACGTCAATTTATTGATGAGAAAATGTAAATTTAGCAAATTTTAACACATGAAATCAGATCGCACGAGTCTCCGAGTGGCCCGATCTTCCTCCACTCCGCCCGACGCGCTGCCTCGCTCGCGTTCCTCAACTTTCCAATGATTTAAACAAATTTTTTCGGCAGCAAAAAATTCAAGAACTGCAAATGCAATTTTTTCTTGACAAATTGGTGCCAGACGGAACTCTTAAGTTTAAAAATTAAAGCCATAGCGATTTAAAAAAAAAATTGTTATCTCGGCTCCTAATAATAGGAGGGTAACCTTTTTTTTTTTAATTCGTAGAAAAATGTCAGCTGTCGAATGTTTCACACGGCTATTTAATATGATATATACTAACAAAATTATTTCATTTTTTTGTACGAAAAAAGATATCCACTTTTCAAAGTCGTTTTATAAGTCAGTTTAACCATAAAAAATCGTTTTGCTACTAAGTGTACGTGATAGTGCAACTCTTAAAGAAGAAAAATCACTGCTGTAAATTGATGGCGACTGTTCTAAGATGAAGAAACTAAGTTTTCCGCAGACAGGTTTATAGTGAACAAATGATTTTTGCAAAAACTAATGAATATTTCAGACTCGCTCAGGGCTAGATCTTTTCGTCATTACAAAGGCTACATTTTACAAGAATTGCAAAGCTTTGCGTTTAAATCTCAATGAGCGAGTGAAAAGAGGCCTTATTTGATGGTTTTTATTTTTTTTTCTATTTAACTAATAGATCGATTTTAATGTTCCACGTCTCATTTTGTAAGTAGTTCTACAAATACCTACATTTTTTATGCTGAACTTTTTTCCATATAATCAATATCTTTCGTTTTATAAGCGAAAAACATGCTTTTTGCAACTGTTCGATTTTATTTCACATATTTCTGTCCCGAGTTTCAAACATAGGCATTTCTTTTTTGATGGTCTTTCAAAGATTTTTGTGAAGAGAAGTGCTGGTTTATAATTTTTTTCCGATAAAATTCTATTTCCACTGAACTATTCTTGCTACTCAAGTTTGAAGGAGGTATATAAATGCACATGAAAAATCGTAAACAATTAAATATATCGTAAATTATTGTTGTCGCTTTAACATGATTTACTATTTTGGATTAAAGGGAAGGATACACTATTATTACAAATTATTAAAACTTATATGTTATTTCGAATGCTCCTCCCTTATTGATGCCGAGGGCCGCAGAGTGGTCGAGATTATCGAAAAAACATTTTCGATTACTTGAAACAAGCGGCTAGTATGAGAAGAAGTTTGCTGTCTCACTCTCGGTGCACCGAAGGCGATCACACGGACATGGACTCGTGCTTGAGTATGTGGCTAGGTTTCGCCAGACCATCGTCTGATTTTGTGTCGCCACCGTCAACGCAAAGTTCTTAGCTGCATACTCAGGAGTTTTAACGTCAGAAACCTTATGTATTTTACAATATAATAGCGCACTTATTATATTATACGCTATTATTTAATTCCCTTTTCGTTTTTGATATATTGGTTTTTCTTGGGAACTTATTTCTATTATTATTGATTTTAAAAAATGTTATATAATTGTTATATTTAAAAAATAACATTTTTTTAATGTTGAATATTTTAATAGACTAGATTTATTAGAAAATCCAGTAAAGCCTCCAATAGTGATTTATAAACATACAAGTCACTGGGACAAACTTAAGATGGGATTAGAACCGGCTGATCAACAGATTGTGGACAGATTACGAAAGCTAAAAGATGAGGAACGAAACATTCCATTGCCTACAGTTGAGGAGATAAAGCAAAGATTGGCATTATTGAAAGATCAAAATCCAGAAGCCAGTGGAAGTAACATCATAAATGTATGTAAACAAAATGTATAAATATAATTGTATTACGTAGATTTTTATTTTTATAAATCGATTATTGCAGGTATATCGAATAGATACTAGAACAAATCAAGAGAAAGCAGAGGATTTAATTCAGGAATATCTTGCGCCAATGGAGCTGCCTTCAACTAGCGATCTTTGTAAAGATATCGAAGAGATGCTCAACTCCTTACAGGATGATGGCAATAGAACTGTGAGTGGATGACGTTATAAAGTTTAGAATGTAAAAAAAATTATAACATCAATTTTATTTCTTCTAGCGTTTTGATCAATGCATGAAGGAAGAAATTGACATTTACAAAAAGTTATGTGATACGACAAGTAGCGACAACACAGAACTAATTAACAAAATTTCAGCAATGGAAATAGATGTATGTATTCGTGATTTATAAGCGTGCATTTTTAGCTCTTTTTGATTTTATTTCTACAGTCATTTATGCTCTGAAAAGTTATGTAGTTATACAGGATATTCTCGATCTATGGGATCGTCATGAGCAGGTAGAGTGAAATGAACTGAGTCAAAAAGTCTTCTACAATTTTGCAATTTTCGCA